TAAAGTCCCCATGAACTGAAATATGTATCCTTTTATGCTTTATTTTAAAAGCTATATACAAATTCCAAATGTATCCTTACAATCCAAATGTATTTATCTACACATTTAAACATTGATATTCTTTCTGTTTTTAAGTTCTTATTTACTTCCTAGATGGCATATCTATTCGTCAATATCAACATTTTTTTCTTTGGCAGATCATTTCTCTATCATTCTTTCTAGTGTTGTACAGTCCTCACAATGATATGTACAAAATTATTCATACAGACCTAAAGGATTTTGTCCAGATCACTCAGTAGGGCCACACTACTCAACACCATGGAGCTTCATTCCCATAAAAGGCAATGGGCATGGTGCCTTCTGGAGTTGTGCAATGCCTAGCTCATTTTTTGTCTGAGCTCTAGGACTTAGCATTTAGAGGAGTGGGCTGGCTGCACTCTTTTATGGAGAGTAAACTGCTGTTGCACGACCACGGATGGTTCATGAAGTTGGAGTGGATGGGAAGGGGGATTGGAAGGCATAAGAGAGCTGTGTCTAGTATATGTCAAACTCAGAACATTCTCCATTCTGGCTCAAAAGTCTTCCTTCACATGCTTTCTGCTTCCCCATGTACCAAATAGAAAATGGAGCTCTGGTATTCCAATGGTGAATCAACCGATTCTAGAAGACCCAATTCTAACCCTAGACATAGCTCTAAATTTACCAATCAAACCCATGATTTGACTGCTGTCTTGGAAGGGATACTATTCCATCTCAATCTATATCCTTACTTTATATATTAACTGTTAGGCAGAAAGGCTTAGATTGGAGGAAAATCATTTCTCACTGTCCCTCCTCATTCCCAATTTAGGGGTTCAAAAAGGGACTGTAAAATTAAAAAAACAAAGTTATCGTTTTTTAATCTCCTATTATGTACCAGGCCTTTTGTTGAGGGCTTATATTTAATCATTTAATCTACACACCCTGCCCACATGGTGACTATTCAGTAGGCACAATTAGCACCATCTTGCCTTCGGTCTGACACCCACAAGGAGGCTGAGGCAGGCAGCCTAAGCCAGGCGGCCCTGCAGAGAGATATCCTAGCAGCTAGGATACACTGTGTGCTGGAGGGGAGCTATAAACACATAACATAGTTTTCCTTTCATAGTTTCCTGATAGGACATCTCTGCCCTGAAATGAAGGCTGGCTCAGGACATACAGTCTGAGCACAAGGGGATGAAGACAGGGTAGGAGCCAGCACGGACAGTTTTGCAATCAGAAGGTGGAGTCACCATCTGTGAGCTATGAGCCAGGCAGCTCAGGCCGTGCTGGGAAAACAGCACCCACTTTCCTGTTCCCTCCTTCTGTGGGGAAGCAGGGATGGGTGGGGGGCAGAAGCTCAAAAGAGCTTCATTCTCCCTGTCAGAAGGAACAGAGAGACACCTATTAACTCCTAACGAAGATGTCTTGTCCTTTCCCAGGTACCTGGCACACAGCATCAGAACAAATAATATTTATTGAGTACTTACTATGGATCAAGTCCATTAGCTCATTCAAATCCTCATAGTTTGTGTTACCTATTTTACTGAGCTTCAGAAAAGTCTTAACTGGCTTGTCTCATGCCCAACAGAGAAGAGGGAAAGTCAGGATTAAATCTAGAGCCACACCGTGGCCACAACGATCCACTGCTTCTTACAACATATATTATTTCATTAAGTCCAAGATGCTGGACAACACAGTTTTTAGCCCCTGGAGCTCCTTTCCCTTGCACTTAACCCCATAAAAAGTCCCCAGGCTTCCCTGCCCCTCTTTCTTCTCTGCCAATGACTTTCTTTTCTGCCAGTGATCTGCCCATCACTCCCCAGTCTGCTACCCGCAAGATCTGCTCCAGCCCATTGTCCAAGGGGCCCAGTGGGCAATTGCACCCCATCCTAGAACTGCCTCATTCGGTAGAAACAAGTTCTACTTAGTCTGTGATTTCATGTTTGGGAAGGGAGCTTTTTATATCCTATCTTTCCCTCACCATCACCTCAAACCCTGGTCCTTGGAGAAGTCATGGTATAGGGTTTGTATACACAAAGTGATTTCGACGGAGGGTCTTCTCTTCCAAGAGCTCTAAGCTCAGTTCTTGACTCTGCCACTGGCTGCTCAGCCCCTCTACTTCCTAGTCTCATTTTCTTTCCCTGCATGAATCAAGATGAAGTGGCTTTCCAAGGGAAATGATAAAGAGGAAAGAGACGATGTCCAAATACATGGTTGCATAAAAGAATGCATGGAGAGCATGTAGTTAGTGCCTGGTACAAAGAGGTGCTCCACAGCTGTATGAAGCAGTGTGCCAGGGCACCTGCAGAGTCTCCTGGGACTGGCTGCTGTCAGGGTGTGGCCATCAGGAGAGAACTTTCCTGAGTTTGCCCACAGGGCACAGTTGGTGGCATGCCACAGCAATCGGGAAAGTGACCTCACTTGGATTTTTCTGAATGGACACAGAATTGCAAGAAATTCTCATTTGCATGGAGATGGGGAGTTCATTCTTCCTAGAAGCTGCATGTCAAGACCCAGAAGAAAGAGGCATTTCTTAATAATGATTAATCAGCTATATCTCAAAGAAGCAAGAAAAGAAAACAATTAAGGAAATGAGATGCTAAGGAAACAAGGAAAAAAAACAATTCCCCAAAGGTGGACCCACCCAGTAAACCTTGACAGCATTTCCTCTTATCCACCTGCATAAAAGTGGCCGTCCCTTCCCAACCGGCAAAGAGCGCCGAGGGAGAAGACACAGGAGCAGCCTGGGAGCACCTAGTGAGAGGTAAGGCTCACACAGGGCTTCGCTGGAGGGTTTGAGCCATGCGGCCCTAGCCCTCATCTCTCACTGCTGCAGAGATGTGACCTCTTGTCATTGTGTATGGCCTGTGATGTCCTAGGCCTTGGAACTTTGTAGGATGCGGAGGGGTACTCCATAGAGAGGATGAACCTTCTAGTACGTTGTTCTCAATAAGAAAAGATGGAGCATGGGGAAGAAGGAAGGAAAGGGGGAGGGAAACTAATATTTACTTTTTGTTCTAGGAGCTTGTGCTGGGCACTTGATATCTATCTTTTTTTAAGGCTTTGCAGTATTAAATGGCTCTTTAAATGTAAGGAGAATCGCTGTTCGGCGGGAGCCGATCAGAAAGGTGGTCCTGTCTGTCTGGTGAGAAGGGATCTGCTGGGATGCCCAGCTGAGCCCCCGGCCGAATGGTACTGTAAGTGGGATGGGGTGGTGGTGAGGGCAGCCGGCTCGAGGCCAGCCAATGCTTGTCTTCCAGTCCTGGCTCTGCAACCTGCTGGCCGCCCACCTTGGGCAGGTTTCTTCAGTTCTCTGTCTCAGTTTCCTCTTGAATAGAATTGGGGCAGAAAACAACCCACCTCACAGGGTGGTTGTGAGCATTAGATTATTATGGAAAATGCTTGGCACAATGCCCAACACACATGGCCTGTACGATAAACAGTAGATGTTACTATTATCTGAGTCGGCCGAGATGTCTCCGATTGCCTAACCTAGCTAAGGGGAGCATCTTTCTCCCCTTCACAATGGGGTTCAGGCATGGGGTGATCTGAAAATGTTCCCCTGCTTCTGAGAGGTGTCTTGTCAGGAGAAAAACTGTGTTCTCTTCCTACTCACGTGACTTTCCAGAAGCATCCTAGTTGCCTTGAGAGGCATTAGAGCTGTGGGGGACTCTACAGTCTTCTATTTTCCTGTTTTGCCAGAAAGAGATTGGAAAAAGAGGAATTAGGGCCTTTAGTATGATGCCTGCCACTGGCTGAGGCCTCATTCTATACCTGTGCGCTCACCGGGAATGACTGACATAGAGTTAAGAAGACATGAGGCAAAATGATTTTCTAAACAGGATTTGCTGTGTCTTTCTAGAGCCTGAGAATCCCAAGGAAGACTGGGGAGGGGTGGTGGGGAGCGGGGGCTGCCGAGGCTCACACTCACACACACGTGCTTTAAAGCGGTCACAACAGGAGCCAGGGTGAGGAGTTGGGTGGGGGGGTTCCTCAGCCCCCCCAGCTGGCTTCCTATCTCCTATGCTGCCACATGCCACATTCACACTGGCACACACGTGGCTCCAAGAGAAAGTGCTGAGCAGGCACCACTGAGGACACTGGGCAGAGCTCTGGTCTAGTCACACGCAACGTCCTAAGACTTCTCTTTAAGGCTAAGTCCTGGGCTAGTGCTGGGGAAAGACCATGAAAGAGAATCAACGAGCTGTGCAATTACATCGTGTGCCCTTTTCTCAATGTGTCTGGGTGACACCGTGAAAGCGGTTTAATGGACAAGGCAGAGAGCAGGATGGAGGCAGGGAGGGTGATGGAATGAGCAAAGATGGCAAGTCCGAGTCTGGCCCTGCCTAGGACTAGCTTAGTTGCAAACATGTCCCTCACAGCCCCGGCTCAGTGGGCTCAGTGGGCAAGTCCCCAACTTGCCCTCCTCTCTTGCTTCACAGTGCCTAATGAGTTATTTTCCAGAAGAAGGTGACATCTTCATAGATGACTTCAAACAAATGATTTTAAGCAGATACACATCGAGGGTTTATAACAAAAGGGTGTCGCCTATTTCAGGAGCAAACATTAAAAAAACCAAATGTGCTTTTAGGTTTTTCAGATCTGTTGCCTAATTCCTAGGGCATATTACCAACACTGTTTTTCCTATTTAATTTATTACAAACAATGCTTTTCAACACTGTTGACAAAGTGAGCATGTTGAGTCATAATGGAGTGATACCACACGAATATACCCTCTGGGGCTTGAAAGAGTACTGTAGAGTGCATTCTGGGGTGAAGGTGGGGGCTCAGTCAATTGATTAAAGAAAACCAGAGGAGAAGACACATGACCATGAACACCACAAGGCTGAGGTAGTGTGTCTTGTTTCCTTGGTTGCTGTCTGGACTGCCTCGTGAGGTCCAAAGGGCAGAACTGTCAGGGGTCTCTATTGCTTTCTGCTGTCAGCTCGGCAGCTGACTTCCATCCCTTCCTGCAGGATATGAAGGCACAGTGTGTTTCCCTCCAGCTCATGGCTGCTATACTCTTCTTGTGCTCAGTGCATGCCCGAGGACTTAGGAGATGTCTGGTTTCCATCGACATACGCCATATAGAAGAGAGTTTCCAAGAAATCAAAAAAACCATCGTGAGTAGAGGTTCAGGGTGAAGGTGTGGGCAAGGAGTGTGTCTCCGCATACATCTTCACTTGAAGAACAAGTTCCTTTTCATTATTTTTTGTGTCTCAGGGGGACATGGAATGTTTATTGCTTGTGTCTGCTCTTATGTTTCTTTCCATAGCAAGCTAAAGACACCTTCCAAAATGTCACCATCCTGGCCACGTCGGAGACCCTGCATGGCATTAAGGTATTGGCCCAAATCTGCTTTTTCTTGCATTGTTATTTTTATGGAAAAGTAGCTCCAGGCTGAGAAAGAAATCCCCACCCTGTCTTCCCTTTTCTAATCTCCAGCGTACTCCAAATATTCCGGTTTCTTATTTGCCAGCTGATGCATTAGGGCGCACTTGTGTCTCAGGGACTTGGAAGCCCCTTAGGAAGGATCAAAAAAACACCACTTAACTAGGGAGAGATTGGGGGTAACACACACTCGATTGGGACAGGCTGTCTGTGGCTCGGGGTGATTCTGGAAGGTTTCATGGGGGAGCTGAGGAAATGAGCAGTGGCTTAAAAGCTGAGTTGGCTGTGGGTCAGTGGATAAGGGAGGAAGGAGTCGAGATCAAGGAGACTATGTGTGAGATAATGAATGTGTGTCAGGGAACAGTGAGGCAGCCAGGCTTGTGGTCTGAGGGACATGCAGGTGAATGAGGTGAGTGGGAGAGGATGAGGTGGAGAAATATACACTGGAGTCATTTTACCAAGAACCTTAAGTCAGGCTGAGCATCGACCTTATAATAATACAGACAATGGGGAGTCACTGTAGGTTTCTGGGATGAAGACTGTATGACCACAGACCTTTCACAAAGACAGTCTGGTGATGTTCTTTATAGTGGAGAATGTGAAGCAGGGAGGCCAGTAAGGAGATCAGTCCAATGGTCCAGATGAGAGATATTGAGGGTGTGTTGTAAAACAGTTGACTTATGGGGCACCTAGGTGGCTCAGTTGGTTAAGCGTCTGACTTCAGCTCAGGTCAGATCTCACGGTTTGTGGGTTCGAGCCCCACATTGGGCTCTGTGCTGACAGCTCAGAGCCTGGAGCCTGTTTTGGAATCTGTGTCTCCCTCTCTCTCTGCCCCTCCCCTACTCATGCTCTGTCTCTCTCTGTCTCAAAAATAACTAAACTATAAAAATTAAAAAAAAAAAACAGTTGACTTATGAGGTGAGAATTCACTTTACAGAAGGTGCCATTGGGAAGAGCTTTAAAGATGAGCTCTTCCAGGGACACCTGGGTGGCTCAGTTGGTTAAGTGTCCAGCTCTTGATTTTGGCTCAGGTCATGATCTTGTGGGATCGAGCCCCACCCATGTCCTGCACTGATAGTGCAGAACCTGCTTGGGATTCTCTCTCTCTTCCTTTCTCTCTGCGCCTCCTCTGTTCATGCTCTCTCTACAAAATAAATAAATAAACATTTTTAAAAAATGAGCTCCTCCAGTCCTTGTAAGCATTCTAGAAACATCCAGTTTTTTCAGGTATTTATCTCCCAGAGTAGGAGGGACAGCTGCACTGATTACTCTTTTTATTTTTTCCTTATCTCTGACAGTATTGGACCTGATTTATTTCCTTATCTCTAGGCAGTATTGGACCTGATTTATTTGTAGTAAACAGATGTAGCCACTTAGTAAATACTGTTCGAGCCAACTGTATAAGAGACTCCCTGGATATCTCAGCTGGAAGGGACCCAAAAGGCCCACCTATTCCAAAACCAACATTTTCAAATGAGCAAATTGATAGATAGCTTGGGCAAGAAAAGGACTAGTCAGTGGTTGAGCCAGTGGCTAAACTCCGAGCTCCCTCTGTCTCCAGATTCTCTCTCTTCTCCAGAACTAGAAATCGCTGATGGGGTCTAAGGAAAGGGGTCAATGGAGATGCAGTTCTTTATCATCACGTTTTCTCCCTCTCTCCCTGGTAAAACAAAGGCGTGCAACGTTTTGCCTCTTTGGTTAAGGGAGCTAGCAGGAGAGAAGAAGTGTTTTTGCATTTGCGAGTAGACTTTGTCATCTAGGAAAAGCTGCTGTGGGGCCAAGGAAGCTTTGCCGCTTTAATGTTAATGAAGATGGATGCAGTTCCCCTCTGCACACTTCTCCCTTCTCAGACTGAGCTAAAAATCTTCTGCGGAGCAACTCACCGACTCTCCTCTTCGGGGGCAATGTAAATTGCTAGAAGAAAATCCCGCCTGGCCAGCCGCCTGAGCTGTGTCCTGGGAATTCAACACCATCTCCCCACCCCCACCCCCTTAGGGAGATGCGCACTCTGCCGGCTGTGGACCTGCCCAGATGTATATGCATTTGTGCAGCTGTCCGTGTCCATTCTTGCACATCTTAGCTCCATTTGGATGATCCCTGCAGTTTAAAAAGGACAGATTGGAGTGGTGGGGGAAGCAGAGCAGGATAAACACAATGTCGTTACAATGGAAGGAATATGTGCCCAGCAGACACTTGGTGCTCAGTAGCTATTGGTATTTATATATTTGTATTTGTATATGTGTTGATGGGTGGGAGATGGACCCAAGGAGCAAGCTGAAGCACATCATAAGGAAGTGCTTTTCCAGAAAGCTGCGCAGGCAGGGATCCTTTCGAAAGGCAGATGCCTAATTCCTGGATGGAGTTTAAGCTGAAGTTAGTGATGGCATGTTAGGGATGCTGCAGAGAGAATTCTAGTCTGTGACTGGGCTCCATCACTTGTTACTGTACTTCCTGGCCACTAGAAAGAGGAGGTGAAACGCAATCTCTCCTCAGTGCCTTCATCAAAAGCAGCTTTGATGTGGTAAAAAGAGTTGGACACTCTGAGACCAAAAGGAATTTGAAAAATTTACTTTTAGCTATTTCAATCCTTGATGCCCCCACCCAAAAAAGACTGCTTTGGTTCTAAGACAGCCAGAGAGAGGGCTTCTGGAGCTTTCTCTAATTTGTGTCTGTAGCCCTTAGATGTATGCTGTGTGACCAAGAACCTCCTGGCATTTTACGTGGACAAGGTGTTCAAGGACCATCAGGAGCTGAACCCCCAAATCTTGAGAAAACTCAGCAGCATTGCCAACTCTTTCCTCTACATGCACAGAGCTCTGCAACAATGTGTGAGTTGCCACATCAGGATCTCTGAACATCTGTTTCCCGTCCGCCCCAGGGCATGCTGTGCCCAGCTGGCTCTCTGAAATGGTTCTTGGACAAAAGGAAATTCCCTGCCCTGTCATCCATGGGGGGAACTGTCCAGAATCTCTTCCTCAGGGCTTCCTCCCTCCTGATACCCCATCGGACCTGCTTTCCTCACACATAATCCTCCTGAGGTGACCGCTTACATCAAAGCACTCCTCAAGTGATCTCAGGGTTGGCTTGTGAGAGAGCCATGCCCAGGAGTCCAGGCTTGTCCTAAGCATCTCCCTATCTCTCTAGTTTCTTTGTTTGGGACCCTTTGGGGTTTTCATACCAATTAACCTCTACGTTGTTCCCTCCGATAGTCCCTCCCTACAGGCTGCCTGTAAATTCATTGCGATCTATTAAAAACAAACACCAGAAAGAAAACTAAACCCAAACAAACCCAACAAAAACTTAGACCAGGAGAAATCCGGGTTCTAGCCCCATCCCTGCCAATGATCACCGGAGTGACTTTGTAGAAAATCACCTCTCCTTTCTGTCCCTAAGATTCTAAAATTGTTAGAAGTCATGACCCTGGCTGTACTTACATTATGATTCATTTAATCGATTACTTAATTAACTAATCCAATAAATACTTAGTGCCTCCCTTGCAGGGTGCTGCATTCACAGAGCGGTGACCAAACAGATTTGGCACTTACTTCTCTGGCCCTTCTGGTCGGGCGAGCTGTAAATCCAGGGAAAGAACAAAAGCCCTGGGCCAACACAGGGTGACTCTACAAACAGACCCTCCTCCCCCTTGCTGCTCCAACCTGAGTTTACCCACCTGCCTCACCTTGGGAAGAAGGAGGAATGTCGCCCCTCAGGTGGAAAGAGCGGGCTGGGTAGAAAGGTCCTCTGATGGGTATTTCCTCCCCTTGATCACAGCAGATGCAAAAGCAGTGTCACTGCAGGGAGGAAGCCACCAACATCACCAGAACCATCCTTGACAACTACAGTGAGGTAAGGATGGGGGGGGGGATGTGGAAGACAGAGATGGAAAGTGGGACCCTGAGTGACAGGGCGCCAGCCCTTCAGCCCCCGCTCCACCCAGTCACTCATGGACACAACAAGAGTTTAGTGCCGGTCATCCCAATCCCGTGTGTCAGCAAAGTGTGTTGGTCTTACCCCCTTTGCTGATTTCTGGGCCCCCCTTCTCCATCACACCTCCACCATCTTCTTCTGCCCTCACATATCAGAACTAACCTGTGTTCAATTTTGAGGGAAAGCACACACTACTTCCGATGGGTGTGACACAGAGGGAACACAGATCCCCAGCGAACTGTAAGCTGTGATGTACAGAACATGTCACCTGCTAGGTGTCACTGGGGGAGGCAACTGCCACCAGCATTCTGAAGGTGACAAAGAGCGGTGCTTCTCCCATACATGCAGGTGTAGAATGCACATGTAAGAGAGAGGTAGGGTACCAACTGTGTTATTTACAGCCGTCCTTTGTCAAAATAAAATACAGGTTCTGGCTTAGGAAGTCTTGAACCATGCGGAAGATTCTGCATTTCAACCACACTCCCAAATGATGCCAATGCTTTGAGTCAGAGCAAGGAGGCGGGAGGCTGTGCACAGCCTCCTTGTGGAGAGGCTCTGTAGGATAACATTATAACAATGGCTGGGACTTGAATTGTTCTTACCACAAGCCAGGTATTGTTCCAAGGACAGTACAGGTATCAACACCTGTGTTCCTCATAACGGCGCTATGAGCCATTATTGACATTTGATAAATGAGGAAACGGAGGCACAAACAGGTTTTGTAATTTAACTAATGTAACTACCGCAACCAAGTGGTGGAGGTAGGACTCGATCTCGTGCTCTCTGGCTCTACAGGATATACTTTTGGATCTTACCGTCTCCTTGCAGTCTGCTGGAAAGGGGTGGGATAAGTCAGGAGACCTGAGTCCTAGTTCCAGTTCTGCTAGGGGCTTCAGTGCTTTCATATGTCAGATGCGGACAGCATGCTCCCCCACCCACTGGAGAGCACCGCTGGGGTTGAGACTTCCTTGGGGAGAAGTAAAGCAAGCTGATGAGAAAGGAAAACAAGCAAAAGAACTGGCCAGTAAGGCGTGTGTGTGTGTGTGTGTGTGTGTGTGTGTGTGTTTCTATGAAAAAAAAAAGAAGGCAAAAAATGAAGAGTTTTTAATTTTGTTTATAAGCTGCTGATAGGATGTAAGCATTTGTTTGGGGGAGACAACGTAGGTTGGCTGCTAGAAAAATAATTTGGGGTGTGAATGTTCCGACAATATAATTGATGAATAAAAGGAAAACCTCATGAGGACTGGAACATAGCCTTTGACGATGACAAAGGCTAGAAAAGCAAGTTCTGATGATGATTTTCCTGGTTTCAGCTGGAGGTCAGATCAGCGGCCATTAAGTCTCTGGGAGAACTTGACGTCTTTCTAACCTGGATTGACAAGAATCATCAAGGAACTTCTGCTGCCTGACAACCAACCAGAACCTAACGCCCCAGGGAGAAGCTGCCCCCCCCCCTCCAGGCTTCTTGAGGGGAGGGAGATGGGAAAGTCCCAGTTCTTATGCAGATAAGGGTGATTTTAAAAAGACCTCCCTCAAGCTTTCCGAATTCTCTCCCCTGGGGCTGGGGTATTGCAGGGAAAAATCTAGGTTTGAACAGATCTCAGTTTGCACCTGCAAGGCCCACCTGCTGGGCCCAGACTGCTGATTGCACCTGAAAGTAGCCAAATAGTCTGCTGTCATATTTATAATAAACAGGTCTGTAAGGTCCCGAGGGCCACCGAGGTGGGGACAGGTCGGCTTTCCCCTAATTTATTGTACGGTTGTCTTTCCCACGACTGTGATGGGAACAGAATGATAACTTGTAGTGCATATTGTACTGACCGATTTTTCCTGAATAAACTCAGTCTTCCATCAGTTAGCAGAAGTGTCTCCTCGTTCAGCCAAGGCGGATCAAGGAATTGTAAGTGGTGAAGATTAGGAGTGAAAGGAGCCTTATGGGGCGCCTGAGTGGCTCAGCCGGTTAAGTGGTGGCTCAGGTCATGGTCTCCCAGTTCATGAGTTCAAGCCTCGCATCTGGCTCTGTGAGGACAGGTCCGAGCCTGCTTGAAATTCGCTGTCTCCCTCTTTCTCTGCCCCTCCCCCGACAGAGCTCCCTCTCTCTCTCTCAAAATAGATAAATAAATACTTCTAAAAAGTGAAAGGGGACTTAAAGAATGCACATAGATGGGGAACTGAGGCTAGAGAGGGATAAGAATCACTGAGCCCCAAAGTGAGTCAGTGCAGAGACGGGCTCCACACTGGGTCTTCAAAGCCTCTACCCCGCACCCTGTCCTCCCTCCACCGATGGTCAGGGAGATGGATGCAGGGCTCTGACCACCAGCAACTTGATATCACTCGTCTTCTGAGCTCCATTCTCTCTCTCTCTCATTCCCCCACCACCCCCATCTTTGTCTGTCATTTCTTCCTTACTGCCCAGATTCCTCTTCTCTGACCCTCAATTCACCTTCCATGGGTATTTATGTTATGATAGAGAGAAGGTGTTTCTGACAGAGGGGTGGCTGTCCTGGTGACAAAGTACAACAAGTATTTCAGCAAGTACAGCCCAAAGCGGGGGGTATCGGGCACCATCTTCTAGAAGGATGCTCCTCACATGGTTACCGGCAGTAACAACTGACACTGAGCACCTACCATATGCCAGGTGCTTAAATAAGCGCTTAAAACGCACTGTCCTGGGTCAGTATCTATAGCGGAGCTGGCTGGTCAGAGCATCCTTTCTTTACTCCTAACTGAGGAAGGGGTTTCAGAGCATGCTGTAGTGCACAGAGCGGGATCTCTGCAATCAGACGGACCTGGTTCCAATCCTGTGGGACTTTGAACAGACTACTTAAGGTCTCTAAGTCTCAGTGTCCTCTTCTGTAAAAGGGGACTAATGACACCAATCTCCAAACGCTGCTGAGAGCATCAAATGATCTGGTTTCAAGGCTGCTCCTGCCATGAACTGCCCAGGGCAGGTCACTAAATTTCTTTGGTCCTTAGTTGCCAGGAAGGTGGACACAGGTCCCTATATAATCTACTGCGTACGATCATTTGAAAGCCAGAGCCATGTGATGGTCTAGAGAGCCCTACTGTCTGCACACACTGCCTCCCCAGCTCCGTTTCCTCTGTGTCCCTACTGCTGGTCGGGGTTCACTCCCACCCAGCCACTTTGGCCTCTTCCGTGTCCTTCAAACACACCGGGCATGTTCTCATCTTAGGGCCTTTGTACTTTGTGGGCACACACGCATGTAAGGAGAGGCAGGATTAAAAAACAACAATGCTATGCTTTGATGGGATTAAGAGGCTATTAAGAGAAAGCGGGACTGTTTGCAGAGGACTCCACCTTTCCAAGGCGACCTTGGATGAACACCCATCCTAAACCGGCTGGACAGCTGCATGAGGGCAGCAGCAGCGGCAGCACAGCATTTCTGATCTTTGCGTGCCCGCCCTGGGATGCACTTGACCCCAGACACCTGAACAGCTTGCCCCTCCTCCTCCTTTAAGCCTTCATTGAAAGTTATCTTATGGTATCTTCTATTTCCATCTTTAGTACATCTTACACCCCTTTCTTGCTTCCCCAGAATCTTATTTTATTATCCATTTCCCCACTCGGATGTAAGCTCCATGAAGGTGAGGACAGCTTGGTTTCTTCTTCACTGCCTGGCACTTAGTAGGTGTTAAATTCACATTTCTTGAATATGTGATCTAAATGAACTTAATAATAGCAAACATTTATATAGTACTTCTGGATGCAGGCAATAGTTTTTTGTTTGTTTTTTTTTAAGAACTACACATAATGGATTATAATAGGAATAAACATGTTTTATTTTATTCTCACAACAATCCTATAGCAGTTCTGAGAAGGAAGTAAAATGAAAAAGGGCCACTGCATTGAATCCTAGCTATACAGATAATTAAACCCGAAGGAGGACACAGGCACAGAGAGGTTAAGTAACTTACCCGAAGTCACACAGCCCACAAGAGCTAGGGAACCTGCTTTCAAGAATGAACTATAATGTCAATGACAATGTACACGTGTTGGATGCTCACCATGTCCCAGGCACCGAGGTGAAAGCTTTACATATGCGTTCTCCTTTACTCCCTACGATACTCCTCCAAGGTAAAGATTATTGACCAACCCGATTCTACAGATGAAGAAATCTACAGCTTCGTGAGTTTCTGCAACACACTTGGGGTCACACAGCTGGTTGTGGAGCTGGGATCCCAGCTGAGGACGTCTTACTCCAAAGCTTGGGCCCTCAGTCAGGATGAAATGTCCCCCTGATGCATTTAGCATGCATGGCTGGAGGCTGGAAGAGAAGGTGCTGTACCTGCATACCAGCAAGTTTGGAGAAGGAGTAGTAGAGGAAGAGGGGGATGGGAGGGAAGGGGAGGGAGAAATATGGAAGAAGTGCTCTCTCTCTTTTCTTCTTTTTTTTAAAATGCTTATTTATTAAGAGAGAGAGAGAGAGAATATGCATCAAAACCTTCAATGTTTTTATTTTATTTTTAAGAGACAGAGAGACAGAGCATGAGCAGAGGAAGAGGGAGACACAGAATCCAAAGCAGACTCCAGGTTCTGAGCTGTCAGCACAGAGCCCGACATGGGACTCAGACTCATCAACAGTGAGATCATGACCTGAGCCGATGTCGGACGCTTAACCGACTGAGCCACCCCGGTGCCCCCCATCTCTTTCTTTCCGTAGCTCTTGTCTGCTTATTTCCCTTGTCCGCTTCACTGCTGCATCTGTCTTTCCTTCCAGACTTGAAGAATGTATTTTGACTCTTTTGTAGCCCCCAGAGGGCCTAGAGCAGAGCTGTATTTTTATTTTTGGCATTGTTTTTTTGTTGTTTTGTTTTTTGTTTTCTGCTTTCACAGAGCTGGTGCTTAAGAAATATCTGCTGAGGAACCAACTGTAAAATTATCCTTCAAATCATCCCTTCTGGGTCCTCTCTCAGCCCCTAGGCACCCTTGGGAAATCTAGGGCTCCTCTTCCACTGCTTAGGTGCAAGGGGAGGGACCACAAAGCATGTAGCAGGGTGGTGCCAGGCCATTACAGATATGATCTTGCTCAAGCCCTAGAGGAGCGAGGACATCAGAGGTGATCAGCATGATCAGTGAAAGTGTCTGAGGCTCAGGAAGGTAGGAGACTTGCCCAAAATTTCATGGTTAAGCCATGGAAGATTTAGACAGTAAATCCAGGTCCAGTGCTCTCCGCCCTTGTTGCCAGGGGAATTCACTTTATTTTGGCCAAGACTATAGAATCCAGGGCCTAGATTACTATGCTGGATGCCAGCAACACAGATCATTAAACCCAGATGTACAAAAAGGTGCCTGGATTTACCAGTAACAATCCTGTGAAATTACACACAAATTAATTGGCCAACGCAGTGCAAAGAAGCAGAGGCTGACTTCTGAATGTGTCACACGATGTTCCTGGTCCAGCTGAGGGTCTGGGCTCCTTCTGGAGGACACTCTCTCCTTCTCCCATCCTCCAGAACAAATCGCTGACAGCCACACATGCATTGGGCAACTGCCTTTTAAAAAGAACTATGGTCTTGCACAACAGATTGGCCAAAAGGTTAAGATTTTTGTGCGCTCCTGCCACTTTCTGTGTGACCTTGGGCAATCCACTTACCCCGAGCCTCAGTTTCCTCATCGGTACCAATGAAGGAGAGAGCTGCCTCACAGAACTGTTGTGAGGATTCAGAATACCATCTATGGGAGATGTAGACAGTAGATGTGTGGCAGGTTCACTACAAAGGATGGTTGAGGGGCACCTGGCTGGCTCAACTGGACACCCCAGTTGGTTGGGTGTCCGACTTTGGCTCAGGTCATGATCTTGCAGTTTGTGGGTTTGAGCTCTACATCGGGCTCTGTGCTGACAGCTTAGAGCCTGGAGTCTGCTTCAGATTCTGTGTCTTCCTCTCTCTCTGCTCCTCCCCCACTCGCACTCTGTCTCTCTGTCTCTCAAAAATGAATAAACATAAAAATTTTTTTAAAAGAATGGTTGCTACTATTTGATGATTCTCAATTTCTCTAATCTGATTTCCCAGAAAACACTGTAATTTTGGGAAAACCTCTTTCTTACATGTTTTTTAAACTGGCAAGTGAGACAAAATGAGAGGCACTGGCCCAATCCAGCTCTGTTTTCCTCTGGGACTGCATCTCCAGGAGGCTGTCAGCTGAGTTCCTGAGAAAGGACTTGCAGTTTCTGCACAGCCGGCCAGGCTCTGGCTGTCTTCCTGAATCTCTCTGCTACTCAGGCACCCTCCTGCAGGCTTGCCCTTATTCTTCCTTCTTCAGTCACAGACACCCCAGTGTGGGACCTCTTTCTTGATCTGAAGGACCTGGTCTCATTCATGCCCAGCACAATACCTGGTATGTACAAATCACATGCTATCTCCTAGGCAACTGGGAATGAATGCATGGTCAGTGGCA